TCCTTACTTATCCTCCCTCTTTTTGCTTGATAATAAAAGACAAGCTGTAACCAAAGGTCTTCAGAGCGCTCTGTGAACGGCTCGGAGGAGCAGTTTGCTGAGTCTTCTCCTTTTGCAAAAGCTTGGCCATAAAATTCATATACGTTGTCTGTGGTTCTTTTATGAAGGTTCGAGAAAAATACCTATCAGGCAGGAAAAAAAAAAAAATCCAAATCCAAATCAGGTTTTTAGAAGTGTTTTTAAAAAGAAGCAACGTTTCTGTTAAATAAACATCAAACACGTGAGAATGTTCTTTTTTCAACTTCATGTGAATACCTGACATGTTGTGTAAATCTTTAACAGTTAAGCAATTTCAGCGTTGGTTTAAGTGATTTTTAGAGTTCAGCTGGTGTCAGAGCTGGGATTTTACTGAAATCCAAAGCATTTTTGCTTGAACACATAAAAGTGCTGTGTTTGAAATCTATTGCTGTTCAGAGTTTGGGGTGTTTTATGCTTCAGTTCCCCTTGGGATTTTTTTTTCTCTTTGTTATCATGTGCAACTCTGAAATAATGCCTCTGTGATTTAATTTTAAAACAGAAGTCCTAATGAGTTTTTTTTTTTCAGGAGTCATTTTAGCTACAGGAACATTTGATAAAAGTAGAGGAGTTTGACTCGGAGTTCTAATGACATTTTCTTCGCAGGTTCTGAACTCTCAACATTTCAGTTTGTCATCAGTTTTTCTCCTGTCAACGGTACCAACAGTTTTGTCCACGTGTGTCTCTATCTTCAACGCCCTCTCTTCCATGTGATCTGATCAATCGTCCTCAATCGTCCTTTAACCTTTTACCTTGGTTACACCGCCTCACAAACCTCCTGAAGGTTTCATCCAGAAGGGACACTGTTGAAACTAAATTTGTGACGCACTGACTGTACATTTCTGAAGAGGAGTTAGCTGGAAGGAGGTAACATAAAGTAAGGCACAGGAGGAAACTGAGAAGAAAACTCAAAGCTTGGTCATGAAGATGAAGTGTGCTGCTGCTGCTGCTGTTGTGCTGCTGAGTCTCTTCTCTCTGGGACTTTCTGCTCCTCTGAGCAGCTGTGACGATCTACTCAAACCAATAACTATCAGCAAAGAAGAAGTAAGTCCCTGTCAGCATTATTAAATTAAAACTAAACATGGAAACAGATTGTCTGTCTAATTGCAGCTTATTAATTCCCTAATAAATGGGTGTGAAATCTAACACAACTTTCCTAAAAGAAATTTCTGATGTGCTGTTAATGAAAGGTCCGAGCTTTATTTAGATTGATTTGTAAGTTTAAATTAGAAATAGCAGATATTGGCACTAAGTCCTGTCACTTCTGATTCATCTCTACAAAAATGTTTTCTAAACTTCAAACCAACATCTCCTTGAAAGTTTATTTATTTATTTATTTTATCAAACCATAGCCACAATCCTTTCTCTCATCAAATCCCCAACAGGTAACAATTTATTTAGCCACTTCTTCACTTTGATATAGTTTCCTTATAATATAGTCCACATCATCCTAGTAAAAAAAAAAAGTATACTTTAGTATACTAAATTTTAACATACTTTAGCATACTTTGATTGATGTACTTAAACTGTACTATTTTGGAACAACTTTTTAGTATATTTTAATAGTATTTAAATAGTATTAAATTACAATTTTTAGTATACTTAAACGTACTTTTTTGGAACAACTTCAAGTTGTACTTAGTATACCTTAAGTACACATTTTTTATGTACTATTTTGAGTGTACTAATTCTGTCAGAATTATATTAAAATATACTTTTAACATACTTTAAATATACTACTAATATATTAGTAATGTATTTAAATTACACTTAATTTTTATTTTTGATTTACTGCTATTGCTAATAAAGTACAATTTTAATTGCTCATATGTCTTCTTTATTTCTACTTTCCTATTTTACATTACATGCATAACTACACTACAGTACTTATATTGTTTTAGGCTACAACTGCATGGGAAGATTAATTACACAAAATGTTCAAGGCAATTCAAATATTTTGAGACTGACATGACACTGTCACAAACATAACTTAAAACCTTTCATCCAATTTTTAAAGTTTAAAATCGTCATTATTTACTGAATGACACTTCATGACACTGTTCCTAACATGAGTGAGGATCAACGACAGAACATTCCCATTCACTGCGCCACAGCACCTTACAGAAACCTACAAAAAAAAAGAGCAGAGCAATTAAACAGAGAAAGCATTTGTATTTTAAAGAGTACGAAAAAATGGAAAAAAAAATACTTTCAATTTCAAGACGTTGTGGACTCGCCATCTTTGTGACATCATCAGAGCTGATGATGATTGGGACCGGATGCCTGGGGTAGAAAAACATTTCTGAGTGTCTTCTTTGCCTGTTTATGTTAGAAGTAGAAAAAAAAAAACAGTCAGCAGTGTCATAATTGATACCATGGTTGATGTTGGCATTAACTATGAAGCTGTTTTAAGTGTGTTTTAAGTTTAAGCTATAGCACCCCCTAGCGTCCCACTGGCGCCGCCACTGGTCAACATCTATTTCTAAGAAACCAGCTAAGTCGTCGAAAGAAACGATTTGCATATCGCCTAGTTCATCATTTTTAAAAGGTTTGCATAAAGGACACCAATAGTTACATTCCAACTTATATCGACTGTACACTGTGATGTGTGTGTGTTGCAGATGTTGGGTCGGTGGTACTACATCGGGGGGAGTTCTGACATCCCAGGAAGTCGGTCGCTGGCTTACCTGATGACTGACTCCTGGCTGGACCTGAATGTCACCTCCAGGAGCAACGTTCTCAATATCGTCCAGAGTCAGAGGATGTAAAGCGTCCCACGCAACAGCACTTTGCAGACAGAGAAATGTGGATTTGTTCATTTTAAACAGCTGTTCTTCACGTAGTCACCCACCTAAGATATGCTTCTGCTTTGCAAAACATGAGATATTAGCGCTACGTACAAGTAGCCTTCAATTTAAATAACCATGCTACTGGTGTAAATAAGTATAATTCAGAAGGCAGATCTGTCTAGAGCAGGAGTTGCCCAACTTTTCCATGCCATCACCCCCAAACAGGGTTAGCTTCTGGGCAAGTACTCCCTTTACAAACAAATTCGCAAAGTCAATATTTAAAGAAACATTGACTTTTAAAATGATTTTTTTCCCCTCAATTTTATTCACTATTTCTCAATTGCCTTTAAAGCCATTTAGAAACCAGGAAACCAAGAATATCTTCTTTGATAACACTTGAGTTCTTGAGTATTCTTCCAGGTGAGGCAAAAGCATAGTTTTCATAGTTTTCACGGGGGGAATTAGAACTAATTTTGGTTTAATGTCTATATAAGGTCTTTATACAGTTAGTTTCTGATCACAGGAATAACTATAAGATCTTATAACTTTTACATTATAGATTTGGGACTTGCTTCAGCTTAGCATACGACGTGATCTTTGAGAACAGCACAATGTTAATCGGTAAGTAAAGAGAAGTAACAGGGAGAACATGAAGCACATTTATGTTGATACAATCCACTCTGCTGTCTCCTTTGTGCTGTGTTTGCTGTCCACAGAGCAACCTTTCTACCTCAAAGAGGTCTACCTGTCAACAGAGTGCGCTGACTGTCTGGTTGCCAAAGAGGACATCATCTCTGCAACTAATTTCACTAGTCTGCTTATCTTTAGTAAGAAACACACTTTACCAAACAATTTGCATATCTTTTTAGAAAGAAATTTCAGAACATTTGACACGAAACACCAATATTAGTGGAAACATGTTGCACGGGCTTTACAATTAAATCCATTTAGTCTTTAACAACAGATTCAATTAAAGGGGAACAATTTTATTTTTAGGCAGAAGCAGGAGCATCTCACCTGCTGCACTGGAGCTGCTGAAGAAACAAGCAGAGTGCCTTCAAATGCCGACACCTATAATGTTAAACTCAGACAACGGTAAGAATATCTGAGCTTTTTTCCCCATGTTCCAGTATATGTCAATTGCTAATTGTTGAATTTTTTTTTTTTTTTTTTTATGAAAACAGAAATCTGCCCTGACGACATCACGCCCTCTGAGGGCCTGAGCGCAATCAACTCGGTACTGCAGGCGAAGATGGGATTTCGAGTGGGAAAATTTCTGGATTCTCTTTTTGACATGTTTATAAACTGAAAGAATGCTCTGGTTTTATTCCTTCCTCATGACAATTATATAAGAAACTGAAGGGTTTGTTGATTTATTCAGTGTGGCCCAGAGAGCCAGGACTCTGATCCACTAAAAGTGAACAGAAAAAGAAAACTGCTCCCTTGCGGTACATGTTATTTTGAATAAAAATCACAATTCCAGAAGTCGTAGTCTTTGTGTGTTTTGTTTCGTCCTGCAGTGTTCCAGTACCACTGCTTCTGTGTGCACTCATGGCTTTTTCCTAGAACTTCTAGCGATATGAGACTTGTTTTTTCTTTTTGATGTTTTCTTATCTCTTTCAACACTAAAGTAAACAATTGAAGCTCCTAATAGGGTATCATGGGATGAACCTTGATACCCAAAAGCACAGATGTACAGCCACGACCGACAGTCAGCGAATCAACCATGATGGAGTCTCTGCATGTAGCTGTTGCTGTGTTGAGTCTTCTGTCTCTCGGGCAGACAGCTCCTACGACCAACTGTGAAAGTCTAACCCAACGAATTCAGATCCCTGGGAGGGATCAGGTAAGGAGCTCTGAAGGTCTTCAGGTTTCTTCTGTATCTGTAGGGTTGACGAAAGCAATCACATGTACGACGTTTTCCAGCTACTCGGAAGATGGAACTACATAGCAGAGAGCACGGACATAGTCGGCGCCAAACAGTTGTTGGAGATGTCGAAGGGGACCGTCTGGTCGAATTACGTCGCTGCTACTGAGGAAAATATCATGATCGGTTCTATGCACCTAAAGACGTAATTTAAACCCTCAGTTTCCGGGTTCTATCTTTGTTTTACATGACATTTACAAAACAAACACAATTTTATGACGTGTCTATTAGGTAGTGTAAGTGAAAAAGTTTTTAAATATTTTTTTCTTTTTCTCAAAGGGCTGGTCTATGCTTCTCTATGACATTTAACTCAACCCTGGAAAACAACACTATTACTTTAAGTAGGTAGTGATGATTTTTCTTCCATCACCATATCTAATATGGTTGGCCTTCATGCTCTTTGAAGATAAACGCATTTTTAAACGTGTTTCTTTTTCCAGCCTACCCGTACTCCATGACTGGTTTCCAGCTGAAAACAGGCTGTCCTGACTGCAAGGTTTTGTACTCCAACATAACACTTGGAAGAAGCTCACACAGAGGCGTACAGCTTCTGAGTAAGACCAAAAACTTGAAAAGATACTTTGTATGTTTTCATAATTCAGGTTCAGTGAATTAAACATCAGACAAACTGAATTTAGGGAGAACAGAGTCACACTGGTCAAATATTTTGCAACTTGGCAGCAGTTGTGGAAAGCAACAACTTGCCGTGTTTAAGTTCTGGTTCAAAGCAAACCATTGTGAGGTTGCACATATCTATTCTTCTAGTCTTCTAACAATTATTATAGCATAATAATTGTTATAATTCAAGCTTTGTTTTAAAATAATGAAAATGCAAATGAAAAGATTTAAAAAAAAAGATGCATGGAGTTTTTAAATGGATGAGTTGCATAACAAAAGTTTTTTTGTTTGTTTTTTCCCAAGATTATGCTCTGAGTTTGTGTGGTGTGTGTGTGTGTGCGTGCGTGCGTGCGTGCGTGCGTGCGTGCGTGCGTGCGTGTGTGTGTGTGTGTGTGTGTGTTTTGTGGTGGATGTGTGTGTGGGGCCCAGAGGAAACATCTATTCAAAGTCCACCACAGGATTTATGTACTTTATAAATGAAGTCACGTACGGTAGAACAGTGCTCTTTACAAATGCTGTATATTATTACACTGGTAATTTTAATAAAATGGTAATTTTATATATGCTTTAGGAATAAATAGTACGCTATAATACTTATTATTAATATATGTATTATTACTATTATCATTAGTTCTAGAAATCACAAACAAACAATATTGGAGTGATATCTCAACTATTATAACGAATCTGGTTCGTTTTGTTTGAAGGGATTTTATTGATCAATTAAGGACACTTCAAAATGCTGATATTTTAACAAAAGTGCGTCGTCTGCATGTTGTGTCTCTCAGGCAGGAGACCGAAGGTTTCTGGTGCTGAGCTGCAGGAGTTCAAGAAGCAGGTGGAGTGTTTGAACTTACCAGAAGCCGCCATTCTGGATCCAGAGCAAGGTAAAAACTCGCCATCTGGTTGGGTTAATCATTTTGCCCTTTGTCAATGTAATCCCCCCGCCCCCAGGTTGTAAGCATGTACCAGTGTTAAGAGCCTGTGTCAGCGAATACATTCTTTCTTCCACTGTGAATCTCATCCTATACTTGGAAGCAGAGCTGAGACACTTTAAATTCAAATGCATTTCTGTTTTACAAAGTTTTGTCAGAGAAGTGTGCTTGGCAGTGCCACCTCCATCCTGAGTCCTGAATCTCTGAGTAGATGATATGAAGTATATTTTTTTTTGTCTTGCATCATAAGAGTATAATCAAAACTGTTTATTTTCTACCACTCAGGTTTTTGCCCAGATCCATCTCTCTCCAAAGACTCAAATAGCTTTGACTTGACCAGCTTCATGGGTGCTGGCGACATGAAAAAGATCGGTGAGATTTTACAAAGTGGCGACGCAGTAGAGACCTTTTCTGAAATGTTCTCACAAATCTCCAGCATTTTTGGAGAAACGGTGGAAAATTAGCATGTATGGAAATGATATTTCACCCTAATAAAAAATGGGAGAACAAAAATTGTGTGACTGTTTTTGTCTCTGGGGTCGTATTTCGCTTTTTATTTTGGTCGAAATGTTCGCCAGCTACTTCACAGAGGACGAGTTGGATGCAGAGAAATGTTTAATCCTCACCTTCATGTTGTTCTTAAAAGTCAAAGTCAGCACACGATTTGTACAGGAACCAGTTGAATTGGATGCTAACTTCAGTGTTAGGTTTTCTACCTAAAACAACTGAGAACTTATTTCAGGAAAATGCTTTGGACACTTTTGAGGTGGATGGAAGTGGAGCAGTATGTCCCCCATCACAAAGCTAAGGAGAAAACCATTCAGGTAAAGAATATATATATAGTTATTTCCAAAATGGCGATAGATTTATTTCTTTATTATGGGTCAGACTCATTATGGTAACATTTTATTTGAAGGAGTGTGCATAAGACTGACATGACACTGCCAGAAATAATGGCAGAACATCTTGCATTAAAAGTCCATTCAATGTGCCAACTTTGCAGTAAAAGTGTCATTATTTAACGAATGACACTTCATGACATCCATAAAGACTCCTTCATGTTCATAACAGGATTTGTCATGATATGATATGCGAATCAGGAAAACAGTTCCAAATGGGGTAAGCATTTCTGGAATCAACATGATGACAACAGGGTTACAAGGAAGATGGGCATATAATTAATCAGTCTCCTGCTGACATGCAGGTTTTCACATAGCACTCTTTCACTTGGTTACACACTGTTCATTCAGAGAGATCAATGTTAAAAGTGAATTTTCCACTCTATGAGTTTCAGTTTTAGAGTCAGTTTATTGTAGTTAATTCCCAGCATCTGTTTGATTTATGACCTTAACTGGTAAGAGACAACTCTCCAAATTAAGCTTTTCATTATTTCAATGTAAATCTTACTTGTCACCTAAACAAATACATTTGTCAAAATCCTGTCCAAAAAAAAAAAAAAAAATCAAACCTCAGTTCCATTCAAGACCATGGCGGCAATCACAAAATTATAGTTTTTGCTGTAAACATATGGAGAAAGTCTGAATTTTCAAAGTTTTCAAAGTGAAAAACGTGGCTGCTATTGAATTCAGCCAGTCTTTCATATTAAGTTGCTGTAAAAAAAAAAAAAAAATGCAGATGCAGATGCCACACCTGTCATCTTGAGAACAAAATCCCAGAACAAATAGTAATTGAAACACAAACAAGAATATTTTAAAATATGTGATGGATGGATGGATGGATGGATGGATGGATGGATGGATGGATGGATGGATGGATGGATGGATGGATGAGAAAAAGCAACCTTAACCCTTTAGCCACAAATATCTCAAATACGTGCAAAAACAAATTGTTTTGAAACTCTTTAAAACTAAACAAGTTGGTTTTAAATGTCATTGCTGGAAAGAAATGCTGTTTTCCTCAAACATTATAAACCAAGCCATTAAACTGGTTAATCTGATCTTTTACAACATTTCAAAACATTTTCCCTTCTTCTAGGCCCCACAAAAACAAGGACCATCTGACTGAAAATGACGTTTGTTTTTTAATCTGTTGCAACACTAAAATAAATAATGGGGCCCCTGTCAGTACACAGGGCCTGAACCTTGTTAATTTAAAAACTCCCTGTGAAGCCAGGACAGACACATACAGCCATGATGGAGTCTCTTCAGGCAGCCGTGGTTGTGTTCAGTCTTCTGTCTCTCGGACAGACAGCTCCTGTGATCAGCTGTGAAAATATGACCCAACCCATTCAAGTCCATGAGAGAGATAAGGTAAGATCATCTACGCCTTCACAGATTCTGTGTCGCAGTGATGTTGACTGATTGTATTTATCAAACCAGTCACAAACCTTGCGGGTTTTTATTTGTCTTCCAGATGCTTGGAAGATGGAACTTTTTGGCAGCAGCGTCAGCTGTGCAGTTATTTTTGCCAGCATCCAACTGGGTGGATGTCAAGGCTATTACTCCGAATGATGAAATCATCACCACGCAGCACCCAAAAATGTAATTTCAAACCTCGAATTGCAGTATTTTAGTTCATTAACAATTTTAAAGCAATTTATTCCTGACAACATTTTTCTCCCGTTAAAGGTCCGGCACTTGCCACATAATCAATAACAACATATCGGTGATAAACAACACTTTGTTTGCGGGTGGGTGGCAGCCATTATACTGACCGTCACGTGGAACCTACATGATTGAACCTTGTGTTCAGTGGTGGAAAAACACTTTTTAATTATGCTGTGCATGTTTGTGTTCCCAGAGCGACCTTATTCCTACCGTGCCTCACTTCTGCCGACTTCCTGCCCAGATTGCATGCTTCTGGACGTCCAGTACACTGGAAGATTATCGCACAGGAGTCTGGAGCTTCTAAGTGAGAATGAAAGCACCATCAAATAAACTTAGAAAAATCCGGCCACATCCCTGTTTTTCATGGAGAAAACAGCAAAAGGTTTTCAGTTGTCACTAGATAAATTAAATAACATCAAACAACAGCAGATAGTAATTTTTTTCACCTCTCTCCAGCTCCATTTAGCTCTGTCTCTCTCTTCAGTTCTGATCCGTTCATTCAGCAGATTGGCATTCTCAGGGATGTTTCTCATGAAACAGCATCTTTTTAACCTCCTGACTACCAGTAGTTCATTTTTGTCCTCTGTAGAGGACATTTCTAAACTTGAATATCTCCCACCCCTTGCATTCTACTGAATTAATTCCTTTTGGTATCTGGAGAGGACATTTAGGGCTTTTCAATGATACCACATGTGAAGGGGTGGGACTTTTGTGCGTACCTTTTTCTAATTCATAAAAATGGCGTTCATCAGAAATAACACATTTTATGAGAAGAGACAAAGTGCATAAAACCTTTTATTACCTTACAAAGAATGTGGGATTTAAAAAAAAATGGTGATTGGACAATATTTCTTTTCCTGGTAGTCAGTTAATACGTTTTACAGTTACTTAAAACTAAAACAACACTTTCAAGGTCCTTCATTGTTTAGCAAAAAAACAAACAAGAACTTTGCTCAGAGCAGAGCAAACACTGCAGTCAATAAATAATTAAACACAGAACCATCCTTGTTATAACATAATGTGTCTCATTTCAACTCTTAAAAAACTGTAGGATACTGTTTTCTCTGTCTCAGGCAGGAGAACTGCAGTGAAGGATGAAGAGGTGGAAGATTTTAAGAAGCAGGCCGAGTGTCTGAACTTGAGAGTAGTTCAACACATGGATCCCAACACAGGTGCGAAAACTAGTTTAATCATAAATGTGCATGTTGTTTCTTGAAAAGTGTAACTCCTTGGGTTGTATGTTGGTAGAGTACTGTTTTAACATTACTTCCTTTGATGTAAAGCATTTTCCTTTATACAAGTTTCACTCAATTTGTTTTCCCTTCAACTTTGACAAGCTTCCCTTTCTTCCATGAAGAAAAGACTCCCCACAGCATAATGCTGCCCCCACCACTTTTTTTTTTCATCTAGTTGTGAAGCAATGTGTCATTTTTCCGCTTATTTCATAACGATATACTCCCTCTAATTGGTCTTAATGTCACAGAATATGGAAGCTTACCAAGTATGAATACTTTTGTAAGGCATGGCATAAGCTACATTTATTCTTCATCCATAGCTGAAATCAAAAGTTGAGTGAGACAAATATCCAAAGAGAAAAGTTGAGATCAAATCCAATCAGTGAATCTGATGTTCTTTGTGTTCTCAAATAGATGCTATATTTGAAACCCCCTCTACAAATGCTTCTAACTGCCTATTTAAATCGAACACCATACAAACCTTAAAATGTTTCAATATCCACAGTGGAAATAGTCTCACACAAAAGCTAACATTCATGTTCTTCCTTATTTATTGCTCTTGTGGTTTCACCCAATCAGTCTAAAGGAAAATAAATAGTGCTCCTGGATTGGCTGCTTTCCAAATGCCAGCCAGTAGCATGTCAAATAGCACACTGCCAAAGATATTTTAGAAAAAAAGGCAACTTTTTGGTAAAAAATTTGGGGTTATGTTTTATACAAAAATATGTGAGAACTGCGCGGGTGACCGCTCTATATGTTGTTTTGTTGTGTATCTTCTGAAAAACAAACGTGATGTTTTCTAGTCAAATGAAATGAATAAATGATTTTCTGCTCCTCAGAATTTTGCAAAGACAATCTGTGACCAGGAGGAGAAGGTCTGTGATCTGGAGGCCAAACTCGATTGATCTCGAGTTTCCACAGGAAATATGTTAATTGATGTCTTCTTGCCACCCCACAGCTCTAGGCTGAAAGCAATGGAAAAGCTGGATGTCAAGAAATAGCATGTCGGGTGTGTAGAAAATGAAAATGAGTTCTTCCCTTACAATAAAAATGTTGAGCAACAAAGAATTTTGTGTCTTCTGGATGATTTTTGAGAGTTTTTATGCTGCACTGAAATTTCCAATTATTTGCAAAAATTTGCTTTGCTTAAATCAAGATTAGTTTGTGTCAGGTTTTGCAATAGAGTTGCACCCAAATGCAGACATAACAACAGATTCTTATGTCGTAACAAAGTGCGACAGAAATCACAGTGACATAAGACTTAAAAGTCTATTTTAAATTAAGACTTTCAACAAAATGAGGATCAGGCACAAGAGCAATACAGCCAGTAGAGAATCTGGTCAGAAAGATTTAATTGCTTGAGTAGCTCTGATTTTGTTCCCCTAAATAAAACTCCAAAGTATAAAAGGAAGTATAATGACGGTTATAAGAGCTTAGAAAAGAATAAATATGTAAATTTTGTGGCAAATCCTCTTACTAGTAATCAAACGGCTACACTCACTCACATTCTGACTGCTCTAGGAATAAAGTGAATTAAAAAAGTTAAAAAACTAAACTATTATGAATATAAATTACCACCAATTTTAGGGAATATATTAGAGAAGTTTTTTTTTTATTACGAAATGCTTTTGTGAAATGTATTAAATAAATAAACCTCTAAAAGTTGTGTTGAAGTTTATTTTTGCTGTGTTTTAAGTTAAAGTTCTTAATTAAGACCTGGCACTGCCCAATATTTTCAGTTGTCATATCAATATTTTGTAACTGCTACAATGAAATTAGTGAGTCCCTTGAAAGCAAGTTTACTGTCATACTAATGTCAGTAAAATAATTTTAAAAACTGTTCCTAAGTGCTTTCTTTTACGGGAGAAAAAGTAACTTTAGCTCGACAAGTTTAATCATGTGAATAAATCATCCACTAATTGCAATGGAATTCAGCAGAGCTATAGCTTATAAGCTTAGTTGACTTCAAAAACACCAGGTCAAGATGGATTTTTTTCCTAAAATATATAAACAAATCTTTAGTTTTGGTCACAGTTAGTTACAACCAAGAATTGTAACATCATAATCTACAAAAGCCAGCTGTCATGTCATGAGTAAAGGCTTGAAAACATCAATCTTTGTACAAATAATCTTTATAATTTGTTTCTCTGAGTGAGCCGAGTCCAATTTACCACATTAGGAAAACCAAACAATATGTCTTAGAGAAGATTTGGGATCACTTCATCAACTTATTAAGAATTTGACTTGAGGCTCATTGGACTCTTCTAGAACCTTCAGTGTGACATGATAAATAGAAGTGCACAATTGCTATTTTCTTACAAGAAGTCGTGTTCAATGTTTTTTTGCATTGGTTTATTTTTTTAATTTAGTCTTTCTTTTTTTTCTATTCAGATTTGTTGCAGACTTAAAATGGTCATCAAGCATTTATAAAAGAAATTCGTCTTAACAAAGAGGGATGGTAAAAATGAAGAACAACCTGCACATCAACAATAATGAGGAAGAAAGTTGTCCATTTTCTTTTTATTGGTAGTTTTATAACTGTACATATATCTACATGTGTATATGTCTTTTTCTCACTCACGCAGTCACACACATACAGGTTACACTCTGGATCATATAAAAAATGACGCATTTCTGTGTAGAACTCGATCACACGATCAGCAATACGAAATCAATATGCATCTGGCATTCACTGTGCGCATACCAACACATAAAAACTAAATAAACACCTTATGCCTTGATTTACAAAAAGCAGAGGACAATCAAAAGTAGAAAAGTGACAGATGAACCAAAAATGCCAACCGGCAAGACAGCTGATTTTTTTATTTATTTTTTTAAATCGTCGTTTAAGATATAAACTAATACTTTTCTGCGTGGGTTGGTGACGTGTGTGCTTCTGAACAGAAAGACCACAGAGACATCAGGAAGCTTAATCAACTTTGACTTTTTTTTTTTCTTCATCTCAAAACAAACTAAATGCATAATTTTACAGTTATTCAAGTAATGTGTGGTCTTTTGTACTACTACACGATACCCTGTCACAACTGTGGAAAATAAATGACAACAGGATTATTAATGCTACATTTTATTATTTACGTCCCCTGAGTGCCACCTGTACAGTCACCGGAGCTAAAACAGGGTGGCTTTGTTCAAATTCCACAGATATACGTGATCTCAGTAAACATATGTGGATGTTTTGGAAACTGGTCTGCAGTCTTCGTCAGTCTCAACTTGTCTCTTTATCAAATGCTGAGTATGCCATCAGACTGAGCAGTGACATGGAAGCCGTTTTAGACAAAGTCCATGAAGTTAAAAATAAACCAAAACTGTTGCTGAATTTAAAACAAATCATCTCACTTTAGGTGCCATAAATTTACTACTTGTATTCCACAATGGGTGCTAGATATTTTGTTTTCTTTCTTCGTAGGTAGGCGTGGGCAGATTTAAAGAATGAAGGGACACCAAGGTTTTTAGAAACTTTCAAACCGCTACAATTTATTGCCATGATGCTGCAAAGGTCTGTGAAAAGGAACCAGAGTGAAAGTATTTCTCTCCATTCTGAATATTCAGAACAACAAAGCTGTCATCTGGCTGAAAAAAGGCAACTACATTTCCCCTTGTTTGCAAGGAAAAAAAAGAAAAAGAAAAAAGATGCTATTTAGAAACAGTCCTGGTTATGAGAGCTGTGAGCATCATGTCTGGTATAGCTGCCTTAGCAGATAGCACAACTAATATCATCAGATTGTGTCGCAGCGTACAAGGCAAGAACTGCAACAAGGTACTGCATGATGCACAGTCAGCAAATTTAAAAACAAACTGTAGAAATACTGTCATTTTTGTAGCTGGAGCCATTTTCGAAGCAACTACATCATGTTAGACATTGATTTCAATTTTTGCGTGGATCGATGAAAATGTAGCGTTTTCACTCAGTCTCATATCGGCCCACACCTATTCCCACGTCTATGATGCATTCAAGCTTTAAACAGAAAGAGTGGCACCTTTAAAATCCCTATATTCACCAAGAAATGACTGTCTTCATTGCCTTTTATTCAGCTCAGCATCACAGAAGCAAGTGAACATGGGGGTAGGTTTTCCAACGTAAGAAGCAGTTTTATGGTTTATTTAAAAAAAAAAAAATGTACTAGTGCAACGTTTAATTCACGTTTCTAGTTTGGGATGAGTCTGCTTAATTTAAACGTCCTTGTCAACCGAAACACCTGAACTTATAAATCGAGACACCTAAAACAGCAGAGCTCTGACTCTTGTCTTGGGGTGCGTTCACACTGCAGCCTGAAGTGACCCAATTTCGATCTTTTTTGACATATTGCGACCTGTATCCGATCTTTTCATGGCAGTGTGAACGCACCCTTGGACTCAAATATTTGGAAACAAGTTAAGCTCTGCGTTTTAGTGACACAGGCCACAGAAAAAGGAGTGCAGGACTCAGAGAGAGTCCTTCAATGTTGACACTTAACCACAAATTTAACAAAAGGAACAACCAAAAGTTGCCATACACTTACACAAACTTACACAAACCAAAAATAAGATCATAATAGGTAACAAAAAAAAAAAAAAACATTAAGAAAGAAATCTTTTTCTTTCTGAGGTGATATTTCTGTATTTCCATTTTGACTGCTTGCTGTTTCTCTGTCTGACACGCACACGCACATTTGAACAAAAACAGTAAACAAAACCTGATCCGTAAAATAAAGAAAAACAGTGACACAAACCTTTTGTCTCGTCGTTGCCCGGTTGCTAGGTGACCAGTCCATCACTTGGACGCAAACAACATTGAAATCTAATTGCTTTGGGTGAACTGTGTAGCACAAAGACCCATTTATATAGTATAAACAGTGCAGTCAGAGTGTGTGATTGTCACTGGTTGTGCACAGGGCAAGAAGACATCCGACGGATGAGGAGTGAACTTTGACATGTTCCTGCGGGACTAGTCTGCCTGCTTCACATTTATCTGGATGAACTCTCGTGTTTCGCTCCATCTTGCGTCCAAAGTACAGATTCAGGGCGTGAATCCAACAGCTCTCAAACCAAGGGAGCCTGTGAAGTTTGTTTTAAGTCTGGCTGTGCTGTGTGCTTAGTTTAGGGACGAAAGTGACAAATATCCAGTTTTTGTCTCACAGAACTCAACTTGAGCGTCCAGTTTTCTTGTCGGAGCTTTAAAAGCAGCGTCCCTGCAAATGGCTGCTTCTCCTCTGAAGAGGGTCAGCAGCTGCTCAACAGAGCACGAGTTTGACCAAACGGTCAAATTTCAATGGCAAAGGAAAAAAAAAAAAAGCAAGGGGCTGCTGGATTTGTAAACAAGGATGCAGAACAGGTATATTTGTGAAAAGAGGGGCGACAAATGTAAACACTAGTGGAGTTTTTCAGAGGGAGGAGTTTCACAGCCATTGTAACTTTAGTTTTTTTGGCTCTTCTGTCGTCTCGTTAGTCTGGTTTGAAGATGGGGATCTTGGGAAGGAACTCTATTAGGATTACCTGCAGGTCGGAAAACAAAAAGAATGTAAGTTACAACTCAAAGATGAACAAGAGACCGTAGTTAGAGCGGGTATTTTTTATTCCTGACACTGATGCCACCCCTCAGACCTTACGTTTCCATCATGTGGCAGTGTGACATAATGTGCAACATTGCTTATGGGAAGCAGGGCTGAACCTTCAAGACACATAAAGACAACTTTATGTGTCTTGAAGGTCATAAAGACCGACTTTGTACTCAAAGTTGGTCTTCTGCAACCAGAAGAACATTTCCAGGACTAAAGGATCCAACAAGATTTTGAGAAACTCATTTAGCAGTTTTATAGTCGAATTGACAAGTCTGTTGAAAAAAGGTGTTTATAGTTAATAATTTAGAAAAAAAATTATAATATTCCTTCACAGACTTAGGATTAAGTCTTGAACATCTAAGAATTGAATGACTAATATTTCAGCTGCTTTCTGCGTTTCCCTCTTTACACCTACATGTCTCAATTTGTGGCTACAGCAGACAATTGAAGTCTCTTTCTCTGTTAACGTCACTTAAAGGGTAAAAAATAGATTGCTTGAAATATGTATATCTATTTGTATTTTTTTAATAGTTGATTAAAGAAACAATGTCGAACATCTGTATAAAAAAGTATAATTTTTTAACCTGAAATTGCAACAATGGAAGAGAAAAGTATTGCTAACCCGTTACCACAAATTATAAAATTTTTCTTGACCAAGCTAAACTTTCCACAGTGCCTTCAACAGTTTTCTTTTGCAGTGATTGGTGCTTATAGATCCTGTAAATGTATTTTCAAGCGTCGCTTTAACATATAGACTCATAAAACAATAAAACACGACTTATGTACTCACATATTCCATCATGTTGTTGGTCTCACACTTCCTTTTGCTAAGTTTCCAATGCAAACACAACTGCAAAACGAGTGAAATAATGATAAGAGATGTTGCACATTTCCAAACTCAGCATCTATCAGCATGCTCCCCCACCTTGTGATAAAGTCTGTTGTTTTCCCACTCTAAAAGTTTCTCTATTGATCTTCTGGTCTGAGGAGGGAAAGGACAAAACATTGAATGATGAAAACAATGTTTTCACGGTGATGCTGCAGCAAATCCAACACAGCTACTTTTGAGATGCATGGATGTGAAAGTCAGCATGTCGTGGCTGCCTCCTACCCTTTTGCTGAGGCAGATGACCGGCCACAAGCTGAAGCCCAGAGTGCAGCAGCAGCAGAGGCAGCCGCACAGGAGCCACCGCACGTTCACTGGGAGCGTCTTCCTCAGGCAGCTGTTCACTCGATTGATACTGGCTTTGAACTCTTCTGGCGCCACCTACACACAGGAGGCCGAACAACTGTAAATACAGTCCATTTCTTGCGCAAGAACAAATATTTATTGTATTTTTCTTGGTAAATATAGGAAAAAAAGAAGATAACTGAAATTAGTCCTGAAACTAAAAAAAATATAGAATGAATTAATAGCAATAAATCAATTATTAAATAGTCATTTAATCATTAACTGGAGTATACAGACTCAAAAAAAAAAGCAACTTGCTGAAAGAACAACACATTTGGAGCAGAGATTAAGCCAATACTGTACAAAAAATATATAGGTTTTGCATTTAAGATATTAAAAAAATCTGTCTGTAAATAAAAAAAATCACTTTTTAGCTTCAGCTGATTCAAATTCTGTAAAACAAAAAAAGTCCTATTAAGCACCATTTGCTATCCAATTATCAGATCCAATCAGCCCAACACTGTAAAGACGTTAAGTCAAGAATAAAGGGCTGAACTTTTCTTGGAAGTATTTTTAGCTGCAAATAATAAAGCAAAACTAAAAGAATGCTATGTTATTGCTTTTCAGGCAATAACAATTAAAAAAAAGGCATTTTAAAAAATGAAAAACATGGAATAGAACAGAGACTGCATATATATTTTGGAGCGTCTGGTAGTTAGAAGTCAAGTAATGTAGTAAATATCTGGTGATCCACCACCCCCATTCTACACGGGCCTGTGATGCGTTGATGTGCGAATCCTGCCGGTTCTACCGGTCCCGCTGTGATCATGTATGGACATAAGTAAGAGAGGGTATTTATTGTCACACACTCACCTTCCCTGTAAGTGCTGAAGGAAATTCTGACTCAAATTTGTTACTAAGTCCAAACCTGTGGGGGAAAAAAGAAAAAGAAAAAGCATTTTAACCCAACTTTATCAAAGGCAAAGCAGACTTGATGGGATAATCATTATTCATTTATTATGGATAAGGAAAGATGGTCTCATTTGTGCATTCTGGTGAAGTGTTCAAAACGTGACAATATTCCATTCTATCAGCTCTGATTTGTATTTAGCAGGTCGAATACAAACAAATGGAGCCCACCAGATTACAAGAGAACCTAAACAAGTCAGTCGAGCTTATAGGTTTTATTTAGAAAACTGAGATAGGTCAAAATCAGAGTCAGCAGGTCAGACTATTTTAGGTGCTAAATATTAATATATTTTTAAGCTTTTTACTTTTGTTTCACGTTAACTACAAACTTTTATGCTTTCAAGCCACCTTTGCACTGCGTCTTTGTTATCTGACCTATTGCTGCCTACACTGTTTCACTGAACTGCCTTACATGGGGGATAACAATAAAGCTTATCTTATCTTGAAATAAAACCAGGAATTAGCACCAGCCAGCAAAAACCCTGATCAGTTCTTATTTAGTTTGTCAACCTTACTAAACTTTGACAAACGAGGTAGCATTCAATATTTAATCTATATCAACTAGACCTTTCAAAAGATGATGTGCATTCATAAAAGACACAGAGGGCAAGAATAAACTGCAGAAGTGTGAGAAGCTTTATAACAAATAGAAACTTTATACGGAGAGCATTTACATGTTACGCGTCTGTAACATGTAAACCCGCTCCAAGCCATGGACTCGCTTATAAATGTTGAAATAAAACGCTTAAAACATGCCTTAAGTAAAGGAAAACTCCTGCACAGATCACTGTATTGTAACGGTTGTAAAACAATAATCAGTATCTTTGGACCCATTGTTGGTGACCGGTAATATAAAACGGCCTAACAAAGGCTAGGAGAGAAAAAAAAACTCTGTACAGTTTTTCATTTTCATGACTGCGTGAAGGAATGTTTCCTTTTAAAAATGCAGCTGAATTCTTTTGTGCAAAGGATTAATTCGCTTTAAGGAATTCCTCAAGTATAAAAGGATTAAGAGGAGAGACTTGCATACTTAACATTTTTAAGTAATCTCTGGTCCTGTTTATGGCATTCAGTTCCAGCCTATCCAATCACAAACCAACAGTGCAAAGCATCTGCATTCACACAATGGCAGAAAAATGTTTCCCGAATACATAAACCTTAAAAGTCTAGAGGCTCACCACAGAGTGTCAAGCAAATTCATTTACAACTTCACTGGGTCTCGGTGCTCTTGTGACGCGAAAGCTCGGATTTTTTAAATATTATCGACTATTTTATGAAAAGGTTATCCACTTCCACAAGCAGGTCAGATTGTTCACTACAAGGAAAAGCCACCTATAAAATGTCCGCTATAAAGATTGCTTTTCTATCCAAAGGACTAAGGCCTTGTGCACACATAGACGGGTCTTTATAAAAAGAAATATCTCCACCATATTGTTTGAAATAAGCAAATATTGTCCACACGGGATTTGTTTCAGAAAAGTTTTCAACCACCAGAATTATTGTTATTATTTTAAACATGCCTACTGACCTTAACTGCAATATTATTGATATCAGCCCAAATTTTCAGCATATATTAACTACTACAGAGGTGTTTAAAATAAAGTTAGAGGGAGCACACAGATTTAAGAATCTATTTAAAAAAAATAATTTCTAAAACATGACAAGAGAGACCAATAGACAACAGCCATGAAGGTTGAATGGATTAAAGCTAAGATGTGCCGTTTCACTCTTTTGAGTTTTCAACCTCTTAAGGAACATTATGGATTTGGAAAAGTTGGCAGCCGTTTTAAAAAAAACTAAGAGTTAAGCAGCAAAAAACCTAGAGGGAACAGAACCAGAGACTGTGGTTTTTGCAGTGATGGCTACCCCAGTCTCCATTACAAGATGCTACAGCCAATTAAAACATCAAGTCTATAATCAGTCAGTCTCTCCCGCTCTGCTCTTTCAGGGCATGACACCACCTCTGGGCTCAATGTAAATAATTAATGTCTGCTCAAGGAAGGAAGGAAAGCTCCAAAAATATCTTAAATGTTGTGTTTATAGTTCTTAGACAAATCTACATCAGCATATAAACGCTTTACAAATTTAAGATCAGATATCGGTCACAAAATTAATTCAGACTGCAAAAAATACGTCTGACTTTGGTCTGTGTAACTGAATCTAAATCCATCTTCAATCCGTCCTTTATACAGGTTTTTAGAAAACCCCACTCCAAATATTTGTAGTCTGCCATTTTTAGATGGTTGAGGATGGATTCATCTTGTTTTTTGTTTTGTTTTTTTGTTTAACTGTATTTTGAAAAATGTGTTAGGTCTAGTTTACTGACGTTTTCTTCTCTCACTTTGTTTTTTTCTCCCACTTGTCCCTCAAACATTTAGTTTTAATCAGCTTATAGCAAAACCATTGTTTTATTGTTAAGTTTACAGGACTTCACTTGTCTTTTTAGGATGCTGCATTTCCTGCAATAGTATGGGTTCCCCCCCTCTGATTCACTTTAAGAATGTTTAATCATATTTAAGTTATCAATAACTACTGAACTGCTGTTTTTGTGTTGTACTTAGTCAGATTTACACAAACTGACTAGTCTGGATATATGGTGTCTATTTAACTTAAAAAAATCTTCATGCAAAGCTAAAAAGTTAATCTTGACAGCTAATCTTGTTAAACAAAGCTGGTTTAGATTAATCTTCTTAAATCTGTACAACTGGCCATAAAACATAAACATACATTGCTGAAGTAAACAGGCTCCTAAACTGTGCTTAAAGTTCTGCAGGTCAATATTTGGATATACAGATATTTAGGCTAAAACAAAGTCTGTAAAAGTGTGAGCACACAGTAGCTGGGTTTGTCAGTGTAACGTCACTATTAAGCTATAGGTTGGAGGTTGATAGGGGGTAAATCTCCACTGTCAAAATGTAAATGTCATGAGCAGCTCCACTTTCCTTCCTTGTTCAGCCTGCTGTGTCAAGTTAGCAGCTAACTGACTTCGCTAGTGCTAACATTATGCTAACAGTTTTACGCGGAAGACAGCGGATGCTTGATTATGTCCTCGGTAAAGACAAGGGGTCCCTCATTAAAGCAACGGGCTTCACCGGTCACTTACACCGTGACGTGGCCGGACCCTCGAACCACCACCGGGTCCGGAGCGTACTTGAGGAGCTGTTCCTCTGCGGCCCTGTCCTCGTCCTCTTCTTCCTCCTCCTCTTCGTAGATTTCATCAAAGTCCTCCATCATCGCTCCCCGGCAGTGACACCGGGAGAAACACGGTGCCGACAAACAGAGAAACCTTTCCTAAAATACAGACCCAGGACAAAACGGAGAGGATGGGTACAAAAATATGAAGTAGTTCACATATCGTCTCAGCGAGCTCCGAAACAAAACATCAACATCCGCCGCCGGAACAGCACGACACCGGAAGAGGGACGGAGACACTTTCTTTCTTTTTTTTTATTCTTTTTTTTTTTCAGTTGATATTCGTAAATTTACGTTTCAAACTAAATACAAATGTGGAACGTAATTTTTGTAAGAAAATAAATGTTTTAAAAAATGCATGTCTTTAAAATTTATTTTAGTTACGTATTTTCCATTATGTGTTTTAGTAGTAATCAGTAAGACTTTATATATTCATTTCATCAAATAATATACAAGGTGGTTTTATAGAAACTGAAATAAACAAGTCGAATAAATTTTGCTATTATTTGTAATTTCAGCCACAAGACAATTCAATGTGCTATGCATGGCATAAATATAACAAAACAAATGAAAAAAGACACATTACCTTACAGTAGCAACAAAAGAGAAGTAATAAAACGTAATCTGGGCTAGAATCATTCAGTTAATTTTTGATAATAAAGGTAACTCTAAACAAATAGGTTTTTTTTTTTTTTTTAGCCTTGGGAGTTTCAGCAGTTTTGGAGATTTTGGAAGTTTGTTCCGAATTAGAGAAGCATAAAAAATGAATACTGCTTCTTCATGCTTTGTTCAGATTCTGGGGCTGCAGAGTAGATAGTAACCAGAACACCTGAGTGGTCTGGAAGGTAGATACAATGACAACTGTTCCTTAGTGTATTTGGTGCTAACCCATTCAGTAATTTATGAACTAACAAATATATTTTAAAGTCTTCTCTAAATTACAAGGAGCCAGAATAAGGACTTTAGAACTGGAGTGATGTGCTCTATTCTCCTACTTTCAGTGAGAATGTGAGCAGCAGCATTCTGAATCAGCTGCAGCTGTCTGACTGACTTTTTAGACTGACCTGAAGGCACTGTTGCAGGAATACATTTTCCAAAGATAAACACATGAATGAGCTTCTCAAGATTTTACTGGGACGTTACTCCTTTAATCCTAAAATTGGTCTTCACAGTGTTTGCAAAGAATACTAATGGGCAGTTTGTTAGAGTTGAGTATGTGTAGAAGATGTACATGTGCACACCACTAGTTATTGCTTGTTCACTTACATAGATATACATTCACACCAGTTTCACTGACTGCAAGCTCAGATTGGTGACACGTTATGTAACACCTTAATGCTGTTTTTGAGGAAAGACCGCAAGGAAAGTTAAAGAGTTTTGACCAATACCTATGTCAATATATTGGGAATTTCCAACAATAATGATCATATCAATAAAAATTCAACAAATATAATGAGATGTGAATTATAAGCCTTTAAAAAGCTTTGGCATTTGGAGATTCTAAACAGATTTTAGTTTAACCACAAGACAAGTAGACAAAAAGTCATTTTTTCCATTTATGATGAAATCTAAAACAATGCTAAAAACTGGTTTAAAAGATAATACTTACTCCATGAATATTGTATTAAAATACAACAAAATAAATCAAAGCTAAAATTATCTCATCTGTTACAAACTGATAAAGTAAACAATGCAAGCTGGAAATACACCGGTTCGTATCAAATGTGAAAAAAAAAAAAATCATAAATAAAAAGAAGCACTGGAGTTCAGCTATAGGCCAGGACAAAAAAGACTCCTCAGCTGTCACCTGATCTTGAGACTGCCATTTTCCTAAAAGTCAGGGCTGCAATAAATCAGTAATGCCTAGCTATGAGTTTGCATTTAACTTCAGACACCAACAGATGAGCTTTATCCAAATATCTCTGGGCTCTGTAAGACTTATACTGGACAAGTGATTCAAATAAATAGGTATACTTTCAATACTAAAAGCTTGTTAAAGTTGATTTTAAGAGGCACAAATATCTAATGCTCAGGTTTTAAAATGGGTATGATGTAAGCTCTCCTTCTGTTTCCTCCTGAGCGTTCATGCAGCTGAACTTTGTAATAATTAGGAAAACCAGAAAGAAGGTATTCAGTCTGTGTGGGAGAAAGAGTCAGACAGGCAATATTCTTCATAAAACACATTGTTTGAAACATATTTAATGCTGTGTAAAACCACTCAAATTTTGTTTGGATATAGCAGCAATTTTTTTTCCTTTTGATTTGAAGAGTGAAAGGTGTTAGCATATCTATGAAGATTAATCTTCTGTCCAATGAGAACATTTTCGCAGAATAATAAGAAAAAGATTCAAAAGTCTGGTGACTGCATCAATGTTAAAAAGTTAGGACACTCCATGAAAGTATCTTTATATTGTTTGCATGTTTGGACACACATAAATTTCAGTTACAAAAATAATCTGACGGTCATGTGATACTTCAAAACAATTAGGATTGAAGATAATATTTTTTTAAAACTCTTGCAAAATTTGATGAGGAAAAAAAAACACAAGATGAGGAATAAATGAGGACACTTGACATTTATTCTTACTTAAAATGCCTTAAATAGCACAAATTCATATCACAGGAGGTGAAAATGAACATTGTTCCATGGCACTTTGAAAAATGTTTTCACAATCTTTGAATACATGAATACATTCACACAGACTGTTTAACATGTATCTATAGGCTATCTGTTATTAAGGCCCAAATATGTCATATCGCTGGCAAATTAAGGTTTTAAAAGAAATCTATTCCTGTTACCCACATGTGTTTTTTTGTTTTTGTTTTTGTTTTGTTTTTTGACAGGAAGTGATATTTATGTTTTTGAGTCCTGACTTGAAATCTGCTGAGGCAGCTAACAATTAGGGTGATGGCAGGGAGGCCTTCTAACTCCAGATGAAACATCAAAATACAAGTGGAAAATCTGCAAAAATCTGGTTAGCTTTGGCTGCTGTATTACACATAAAGAATTTTCTTTTGATTATTGAAGAGTTTAATTAATTTTGGACAAACCTCAGAATAAATAAAACAGATGTTTGGGTATTTTATTTGGCTTTTCAAGAAAACAACAGCTACACAAATAAATTAAAATGCAACAATATTTATCCAAAAAGGTTATTAGAAATAATGCTGTGTGAAAGCACCTGGTTGTTTTGAAATGAAAGCTGGTGAAGTGGATTTCCCGCAAAATCGATGAAAGCGAGGGCGGGGTGTACGTCATGTCCGGAGATGATTGTCCAATAAGGCCGCTGCTTTCTCTCGGCTCGTCTTTTATTGGCTGTCCACCTACTCTTATTCTGTTGTTTAGTACAAACTGAAGGGAGCGATATATAGCTTACAGTAAATCACACTTCTTTATCAGTGTGATCAATTTCACCAAGGATTACACTGATATAAATTAGTATTTTGGATCAGGAGAATTAAACGGAACTTTGGGTGTAAGGACGCCTGTTTTTTTTAACTGAACTATGCTAGCATTGCTAGCTAATTAGCCTCCGCGTCGTTGCCTCCTCTTCATGGGTTTCGGCTGTTGATTCCTGCCAGTCGTCTGACACATTAATGCCATCAGCCAGGGTGGGTTATGTTTCATTACTTTCAATATGTTCCCCAAGAAAATTTTCCGACTTTCTTTACCCGCCCAGTTTTAATTTCACACTGGAATCCCAAGATAGCAAACTCGTTAGCCATGCTTTTAGCCGAGCTAGTTGGTGATGGCTATGCCGCTAATGCGAGAGAATGCGCCTTGTTGTGGCTAAGCTAACTGGTTGTAAATATCCACCACCTGTTCTGTAGTGATTTATATACCCATACGAGATGCCGTTTCCCTCTCAGAACTCGGGTCACATCATGAGCGGGGCGAGCTGCAAAGCTAACGGTGCCGTATACCCCGCCTCATCCGCGGTGATGAACTCCGTGAAGAAGCCGAAGATGGAGCAGATCCAGGCCGACCATGAGCTCTTCTTACAGGCCTTTGAAAGTAAGATTTCGCCGCTTTCTACATCCTGATTTAACTTTACTATGTTTTTTCAGAGTTCTACCCCGCTGTACAGCGAAGTTACGTTTGTTGGGCTGATCATTTCTGTCAGGCCTCCGGTTTCCCACCTTTCTCATAGTGTTGAACTAGACGTAAAAAACACCGAATGCGTTTGGCAGTGGAGGAAAAAAAAAAGAAGAAAAAAAACAACAACTTTGTTGCAGACTAATTAATCGGTCTCAATCGGGTGATAGTTTTAGGCCTAATGGAATGTGACAAAATCGACGATGAAGAGATTTCTGAACGACTGAAAGGACAGAACAAGTTTTTCTAATGATGATCGTCTCATCCAGATAACACAAATAAAGCACTGGAAAGGAATAAATGTGACACTGCTAATATTTTCTTATTTATTTCTTCATCTTTGCATTTTCATTCATAACACTTAAAGTATATCAGACATCAAATTCATTATTGCACCCCAAGCAGTCATTTGAAATATGATTATTGTATGAATATTGAAAGTGCGGGATGCCCACCTCATTTTTTCAGTTTTCCTTCTGCCTCTTAATCCTGATTCATTCTCTTATTCCTTCTATACCTGTTTTACCTGAAAGTACACACATCCAAGTTCAGTAACCCTCGACTGACTTACAGAGTTTACACACAGCTTTTGTGGTGCTACTTATTAGCATCCTTATTAAACCTGGATCTGTTGAACTTGCCTCCAGATATAAGACCCGTGTGACTGAGGTAAACACACAGATTTGTTGCGGTTCTGAGATTTAAGACTCTTTCTCAGCAAATCTAGAGAATATAATGCCCCAAGTTGACATCTGATAGGTCATACTTCAGTATATCCTCTCTACACTCGCTTTGGCATACTTATAAGAAATATTGCACATTTTCTAAGATGTGACATTTCTTTGAAACTAGAAACAAATGCCAGTAATTAAAGCAATAGGAGTTTCTGCCTCCTGACAAAATGGTTAACAGCAATGAGCCATTTTAAAAAAGGAAAAAATTTTTTTTAGCCTTTTCCTATATATTTCAACTAGTGTCGCAGGCAATCCCAAACAGAAACCAATGAAACATGTGTAATTTAGTAGAAAGCTCCCAACATACTAAAATGGTCTGATATTTAATTATCAGTTATAGAACAAGGCTGAGAGACAGATTGAGCAGCTCTACCAGATTTGAACCATAACTCAATGTTAATGCTCACTGTTTGTCTTATTGTTTCTAGAACCTACTCAGATATATAGATTCCT